CGGCTGCTTCGGCTGCTGCCTCTGCTGGTCTGGGAGGGGGACGGGGCGGAGCGGCCCGCTTTCAACCCCGCTCACCCTCCGACCCCGGAAGCGCTAACCGCCCGGGGGCCGGCGAGGCGACAGTGTCTTCCAAACCTTCCCCACACAATGCACACGGCCTCCCAACAGCCTAGAGCGCCTCCGTGGTCAACATCGACACTAGCAAGATGACTGGTAACAGATAGCGAGGGGTATGATAGAGCGACGGGGTAGGAGCTGGGAGGAAACTACTGGCCCCTAGCGGACTGGTTGGAAAGCTCAGGTGCAAGTGCGGAGAGAGGCTGCAACCGCTGCGATCAAGAAGGGGAGAAGAAAAAGGTATGGGTGGGGAAAGGAGACAGGAAAACCCAGTAGTCCATAGTAATACTAAAAAATAAAATAAATAGGTTTTGCGACATTGGAGGTGACTATTACACCAGCTCCTTATTGGTGTAAATCGCTAAATAAAAGGATAAGCGTTTACTCTCCCTTTTTAAGAACTGTAGTTCATCCACAATTGCTAAGAGAAGGCTTCTTTTTAAGGAGTATTTGACTGCTAACCAGAAGCCTGGCGGTTCAAACCCACCAGCCACCCCTGGGAAGGAAGGTTGGGCAGTCTACTTCCGTAGTGATACTCTTTCAGAAACCCAAGGAGGGGTCGCTATGAGCCTGATCCGACTGGCCGGCAGTGAATTTCGTTTTTTTTGAGCTACTTTAGGAGGAATGAAAGAGGTAGAAAATCACCATTCTGCAACCCAGAATGAAATGATTCAGACAAGGATCATGGATCATCAAAACTTTCAGTGAAAGCTTGTTAGAGAAAAAGATGTTAACATGCTGCCACATACCACCCAAAAGAGAATTTGCAAGTCACAGTGGAAAAAAACATAACTTTCCAACGGAGTCACAACGTTACCAAGTGATCGAATTTTGCATCACCAATAAATAGTAGGGCAAAAGGAGCTCTGGTGGCATAGTGCCTAAGGCTTTTGACTGCAAACGCCGCTAGCCACTCGAGGAAGGAAGACTGGGCAATCTACTTACCTAAAGATTTACTGCCTCGGAAACCCAAAAGGGGGTCGCTATGAGTCAGAATCAACTCGATGGCAGTAAGTTTGGTTTTTTGAATAGTAGGGCAACCTTGAAATTGTGTGGTCTTGAGATGCAGTAAGTAAACAGCTTTATCTATTAAGTAATCTTGCTAAAATAATCTAATCAATCATTTACACCTAATTTCCAATGTACAGGAAATATAGATGATCCACCAGCCACTCCTCAGAAGGAAGGTTGGGTAATCTACTTCCTCGGCAACCCAAGGAGGGGTCGCTATGAGTCGGGTCCGACTCGAGGGCACATAACAACAACAACATAGATGATAAAGGAACAAATTAAACACCACCACACCACAAAAAATGATTAGCAAATCAAGAATTTGGAATGTTCTACAAGACAGCTAGCCTGATTTCTCAAAGATATCAGATAGGAGAAATTTAAAAAACATACCAACAAAATATAATATTGTAATGTGTGGATTTTGTTTGGATCCTGGTTTAAAAAAAAAATAGCTATGAAAGACATTTTTGGGAGAACAGAGGAGATTCAAACATTAACTGAATATTATATTAGGATCCACTTCTAATTTTCTTAACTTTGATAATGAAACTGTGGTTATATAGGAGAAATACTTCTCAGAAGATGCTTGATGAAATATTTAAGAGTGAAGACTCAGGTATATAACATTTTCAAATGGTTTATGCAGGTATATGGATATAACAGATATGGCAAAATGTTAACAGTTGTTAAATCTATGTGGTTGGTATATGAGTAATCATCATTCTATAGTTCTTTAAACTTTTGTTTCACAATTTTCATAATAAAAATTGGGAACAATATGATGTGGAATGAAACAAGATCAGCAAAATATTGATGATAACTGCAGCAAGGCGATGGGAAGATAAGAGTTTTTAATGCTTTCTCTACCCTTTGGAAGGGCAATCTACTTCTGTAGTGATATTGCCTTGGAAATCCAAGGATGGGTTGCTATGAGTCGGGTCTGACTCAACGGCACATAACAAAAACAACCCTTATTATATCTGCAAATTTCCACATTAAAAAGCGTTAAAAACTAGAGAGAAGCTGCGGCAGAGAGTAAAGCAAAATAAGGAAAAGGAAATTCAAAGAGAGAGCAAATACAGGGTTATTGTTGAAATTTGTTCAAGTCCTTTGGGCATCTGTTCTGGCCTAAATATCAGTCAAGTTTTATCGGGCAACTTCCAATTCAGTGGAGTCACCTGAAGGGGAATAGCTTCCTGAAGTGGCAAATAAGGCTTGAGGCTCCAGGGCCTTTCTGTCCACCCCAAATGACGGGGTGGGCATTAGGAACAATGTAAGATAGAAATAAAAAGAATCTGTCATTTGATAAGGTCAAGGGCAGACCAAATATTGAGAAGAAACGAAGTAGGAAAACGTTAGGACACTCAGAAAAAGGAAGACTAGGGAACAACCTTACTATGAGGCCTGGGCTAAAGGTCAGTTTCCTGATTTTATAGTCATTTTATATCCCATTAGCTCTGAGAGCTGGGGTGAAGGTGAGTGGATATCCATGAAGTCAGTTCTAATATGAGGGGCAGAACAAAGTTTATATTAAAATTTAATAAAATGTAAGGTCCCAGGAGCTCTGGTGGCATAGGGCCTAACTGCTAACCAGAAGGCAGGCGGTTCAAACCCACCAGCCACTCCTTGAAAGGAAGATCGGGCACTCTACTTCCATAGTGATATTGCCTCAGAAACCCAAGGAGGGGTTGCTATGAGTCGAATCCAACTCTACGGCAGTGAATTTGGTTTGGGTTTTTGAGACATCAAAGAAATCCAATGTGGGAACATCCACGTATCTCCAATCCATGGTTAAAAGTAGTGCTATGAATGAGTTCTAAGTAAAGCACCATGGAAGGGCAAAGCAAGGAGTCATGTGGAAGAGGAAAGGAAAGGAGGATATGGATTCAACAATCAGAATGTGCCTTTGGAGTTAGGAAGTGTGTTAGACTGGGTTTTCTAGAGAAACAAAACCAATAAAGCTTATATATAGAGAGAAAGAAAAATTTATCTTAGAAAATGGCTCACACACTTAAAGAAAGTGGCAAGTCCCAAGTTCTTGGATCAAACGTCAAGCTGGAGGCTTTTCCCAACTTACGCAGCTGTAGCAGTTGAGAAGCTCAAGGTTGGCAGGCAGTAAACTGGCTGTTGACTTCAACGGATGATGAGTCCAAGATCTTCAGTCCAAATGGTGGATTGTTCACTCACGGACAGTTGTAGGCAGAATCCTGATCCACATAAGAGTGTCTCTTTTCCCAGGATATCCATAAACACACTGGAAGTAGGTAACGCCCTGGGAAACTCCCTTTCAACAGACTGGCTGCTCAAAACATACATCTGATCCCATCATTGGAACAACCCACATCACAATTGATTAAACCACACAGAACTGTGGTCCAGCCAAGTTGACACACAGCTCCAACTATCACAGTCTACCCCTTGTCAACTTGGCAGTTGTACAAATCTTCCTAACCATATATAATCTCTAAATAAAGACAATTATAAAGTCATATTTGCGCCAAACATGATACGCTAACACGCATACAACTGAAATACATTAACTTTATGTACATTTTACAGTTCATAACAGAAAGAAACAAAAATATTTAATGCACATATACAATGAAGAAATATAACAATCACAGTCCTCATTTCTGCAACTGGTCATGTGGTTGTAGCTGATAATGAGAACTACCTTCTTGTACCACCCATTCTGTATTTCCCTTGCCCTCAGCAAGCACCTCAGCTAGTCATGGTTCTTTGCCTGGTGGGGTGACCCAAACCTTCATTCCTGAAGGGTCTGGGCCATCAGCACTCATATCAGGATTGGGTTGCCGTAATTTTCCATTGACTTTAATCACAGGGCATGGTAGTACTAAGAGACGTCCTAAAGAATCTCCTGTATTCCAGACATATTCTTCTTTACCTCCATTATGTAATGTCAATTCAATTCCCCCTTGGTAATCAGGATATATCACAGCAGATGGTACAGTAATGCCCTTCTTTGTCTTTTGATCAAGAGGCTTAAGGAAGCCAAAATAGCTGGGTGGCATTCTTAATTTCCAGTTCAATGCAATCAGTATAGTGTCTCCAGATGGGAATGTTCCTCCCTTTGGGACTAAGATCTCCAGACCCACAGAGAATAGGGTAGCAGGGACAGGAAGCAAAAGTTTTTTTAGTGGGTCATAGGAGTAATAGTGGTACCACTTGTTTCCACCCCTTGGTTCCTGGACCCATGAATCCTGGCTGTTGGAGGAACAGAACCATATACTGGGTGCTGGTTTAGAGCACATACAGCCTCCTAGAGAACATTGCCCCAACCCTTCAAGGTACTGCCACCTAGCTAATGCCATAATTGTGTTTTCAGTAGGCTATTCCATCATTCTATCAAGCCAGCTGCTTCAGGATGATAGGGAACATGGTAAGACCAGTGAATTCCATGAACATAGGCCCATTGCTGCACTTCATTTGCTGTGAAGTGAGTCCCTTGATCTGAAGCAATGCTGTGTAGGATACCATGATGGTGGATAAGGCATTCTGTAAGTCCACGGATGGTAGTTTTGGCAGAAGCATTGCATGCAGGGAAGGCAAATCCATATACAGAATAAGTATCTATTCCAGTAAAAATAAAACACTGTCCGTTCCATGATGAAAGTGGTCCAATGTAATCAACCTGCTACCAGGTTGCTGGCTGATCACCCTGAGGAATGATTCCATATC